GTGGGCTGGAGCTTGGGGCATGAGGAACCTCACTGTGGCAAAGGAGCCAGAAGATACCCAGAGTTCATGCTATTCCAGCCATTGCCTTTTGGAGATTCCAGAGATGAGTTAAAAGATAATTTTCAAGAGTGTGAAATCTTTCAGACATATAAAACATGAACAAGAGGTAAAATTTTTCTTGAACTCATGTGGGATCCAGACAGATGTTGTATGTTACACATATGGAGGCAAATTGATTTTACCACCGGGGAGGAAGCTCGTCAATGGAACCTCTGTTGGAAGGGGCAGAATCTGCAAGTCTAGAGATAAAAGTGGTTTGGTATTGGTATCAGCTGCTTGCAATTCTCAGAGCCGTAAAGGCATTCCAAGGAAATACCAATGCTATGAATCAGACAGCTGGGAGGGTGTGTGATGGTAACTGAGTCACTGAAACACAAAATTTTATTTGCAAAACAACTCCTTCCTTCACTCAATAAACTCCTGGAGAGACAGAAAACAGACCGGTGGTTGCCAAGGGACTGTGCAGAGGGAGAACGGGGAGTGGCAGCTACTGGGATGGGTCATCTTTTGGGTGGTAGGTTCAGGTAGTAGCAAAAATATTGTGAATGTACTAAACACCACCGAAGTGTATTATTTTTATTTAAAATTTAACCTTTATTGTATTTTTTCCATTACCATTTAGTCCCCTCATACTCCTCTCCCACCAGCAATCACCACACTGTTGTCCATAAGTCCTTTTTGAATTGTCTATTTTTAAATGTTAATTTTATAGGTGTTATTTTTTAAAGATTTTTACTTATTTTTAGAGAGAGTGGAAGGGAGGGAGAAAGAGAGGGAGAGAAACATCAGTGTTTGAGAGATACACCGATTGGTTGCCTCTCACATGTCCCCAAGTGGGGACCTGGCCTGCAACCCAGGCATTTGCCCTGACTGGGAATCGAACCGGCAACCCTTTGGTTCACAGGCTGGCACTCAGTCCCCTGGGCCACACCAACCAGTGAGTATAGGTGAGTTTTAACCACACACACATACATACACAAAAGCAGGGAGAGTAATTTCATACACATAAAAATCGTAATCTATATCTCAAAAACCAGCAGTTGTGGCAGTAGAGCCAGAATTTGTAGGACTTTCCATTTTGAAGTTTCCCTGGGCCCAGCCTGGTCACTGAGCAGTGGCCTCTCGTCTCACCTCCAATAGAGGGAAGGGCAGCCACCAAGCCAGAGCTCCTGGTTGACTCCACAGGCATTTCCAGTCTAGCAGATTCAAGTGAAGCTTTGGGGGAGGGGGCACCCAGGATGGAACAGGTGAGAATCTTGGTGTGGAAACAGAGGCAGCAGATGGTCAGCTGAGAATGCACACTGGGACTCAGCCAGTGTTGGGTTCAAGTATTGGCTCTAGAATGTTAACATGACCTACCCTGGGATGAAGTGATGTACAGAAAGCACTAGAACAATGCCTGGGCCATAGGCCTAACAGACATTTTGACTTTTTTATAGATCAAGGGGCCTTCAAGCAGTTCTTAAGTACATTCTGGTTGAATTGGTACCATGATGGTGTCAACACCCATTCTACAGATGGAAAAACGTCTCCCTACGTCTCCTGGCTTGTGCTGGTCAGAGGGGGTGAACTGGGCATGTCTGAGGAGAGTGTGCGAGTAAGGAGGTTGGTGTGAGCCACCTGAGCTTGGAGGGAGGTCAAGACTCTCCACCGGCTTCCAGGATGGACACGCAGAAGCCCAATCACCCTTCCCTGAGCACGTGGCTGGTCTGCAGAAATTGCTGGGGTTGACCGGGTCAGTGTACCTGGCCTACAGTCCCAGCACAGGCTGTTCATAGGAACATGTGACTGCAGGAGGAATGACAAAGCCAGGTTTATTGCTCCAGGTTAAACCAGTGGACACAGGATTTGAAGGGGGAGGGGACCACAGAAAGTTGGTGAACATGTCCTCAGGGCCATTGCTGAGTTCTAGGCATCCTGGGAAGCTGACTCATGCACTATAGATGTGCTGATCAGCTGCCCACAGGCCAAGCCACCCCTACCCAAAGTTTGAGCAGCAAGCGGCAAGCCAAAGCTCTGGGGGGGCAAGGCTCCTTTGGTGCACAGTACTGCCCATGGAGCTAGTCGCAGAGGTATGGGCATGGAGGCAGTTGCTGTATCCTTAGGAAGGTGTCTTGTCTTGATGGTGGAGGAAGAGGCTATCTACTTCTTCTTGGCAGGGGCCTTCAGCAGTGCCAGCTTCTTGGGCAGGCTGGTGCTGGCTTTCATCACCACGTCATGTTCAATCTTCTTCCGGATCCCCACCTCCAGACCCTGGGAGGGCAACCGAGGCGCAATCAGACTGGGTGGAGGGAGTGAGGGAGGGCCTGACCTGAGGCTAGATCATTAGCTCCCCCCTGAAATAGTACCTGAGAGTTTTGTGGCTGTGGCTTAAGTCCTGCTCTGCTCTTGTCCCGAACTCTGGGATGTTATAAACAAAAATCTCTTATCTTTGGACCTCAGCTTCTAAACTTCTGCTCACCCCCACTTCACAGATGGGGAAACTGAGGCGCCTGCAGTGAGGAAACCATGTGAGGGGAGACTGGATCCTGCCTCTGGTCTCAACCTCCATGTATAAAGCAGAGGTGACATGGGACAGAAGGGACTGACTGCCCACCTAGAGGTTGAGACCAGAGGCATTGGGCAGTCAGTCCCTTCTGTCCCATGTCACCTCTGCTTTGTACATGGTGAACTGGGGCTCTGGGACAGGGACATGAGCAACTAAAGGCACAGAGATTAGAAGCCAAGTGTGTTTGGGTCCAAAACTGGCAGTTTAATCATATTCCCCAAACCACCCTCTTGCCCTGCCTGTATGACCTCCAATGACCATGAGAGGCGGGGCTTTGGGGCTGTCATCAGGAACAAGCTGCTCAGAAGCAACACTTGCAGTCAGATGACTCAGAGGGAGCCTTGTGGATCTCTAACTGGAGCAGGGAAAGAGCCAGTGCAAAGTTGATGAGGAATGAGGGGCAGTTAAGGGGCAATTGAGGGTGGAGAGAGCAGGGGGGAGAGTGGGAAGCAACAAGGGCAGGAAGGGGACTCTTCCAGTGGAAGAGTGTGCAGGGTTTAATTTTTCCCAAGTGCCGTGGGAGCCAGAGGGTTCTGAGCAGAGAAGGCACATGATCTGACTTTAAGTGCCCACAGGTGCCCTCTGGCTACTATCGGGGAGGGAGATAGACAGATCAGGGAGGAGTGACCTTAGCAGTCCAGGTGGAAGATAATGGGGTGGACCAGAGGAGGGGGATCAGGGAGGCGGGAAATAGGTGGATTCTAGATTAATCTTAAAGGCAAAAAAGGATAGAATCTCACTAGAAGCGAGAAGGGGGTAAGGGCAAGGGAGATCCAGGACGACCCTGAACATTAAACCTGTTTTACTTTTCTGTAACTTATTCATAAATACAACCCTACCCACCTATATAGAAAAAACTGGACTTAAGACAATCACAAAAATGACAATAACCAACGAAATTAACGTTTATTTATGCCCTGTGCTGTTCTTAGCACTTTACAGGTGCCCTATGACATCAAAACCTGACAACTCTAGGAGAAACGTGCTATTACGATGTTTCACAGGTAAGAGACTCAGGGTGAACAAATACTAGTCATCCACGGAGCTGCGATTTGCACCCAGCACTGCCTTCTTACAAAGCTGGGGTTTCAACTCCTTTCCCATACCACCTCCTCTCCTGCGTTCTGTTACAGAAAATGGTAACAACCAAAGCAGCTAAAGCGTGTACAATACTTTTTTTTTTTTGCGAGCCAGGCCTTGCTTCTACCATGCCTGCTGAGTAGTAGGTGATGTTCCTGTACCTGGCCCTCCCCGGTTCCAGACTTCATCTCTGGATCCCTCCACAGACCTCTAGGCTCTATCCCTTGCCTTGGGCCGCCTCCAGGCTTCAACCCTTGCCGGTACCAGACTACCCCCCCCCCCGCCCACTCCCGGTTTCCCACTAGCGCCGGACTCCATTTCTGATCCTCTGCGCTCGCCTCCAAGCCCCATCCCTCGAGCCTTGCATGCCCCACTCACCTTCTTGAGCTTCTGCTGCTGCACAATGCGCGCCTTCTTGGGAGCGATAACACGACCTGGGGAAAGAGGCGCTCACATGAGGCCTGGAAGCCCCGGGTCCCCCTCGCCCAGCAGACCTCGGACCACTCCTCACCTCCCTTTCTCGGGCCCCGGTTCCGCTCTGAGGCCGCCGCCACCGCCTTGCTCTTGGACGGCCTCTGCGCCTGGAACTTACGTTGTCCCTGCGCCATGATCGGGCATGCGCCGGAAGAGGTGGGGCTGAGCATTGCAACCGGACACAGGGCATGACGGGATACAGTGGGTGCTGGGCGCCCAAGGGCTCACGGGAAACAAAGTGGTAGAGTTTTTGGAGTTCTGGGCCAAGGGGGCCCGTAATAGCCAGCATTTCGTAAAAATTTTAAGCTAATGATAAGTTAACATTTACTGGGCGCTCATTTGCTTTGTAAAACGTAGGCTGTTTCGTGTTCTTTATATATAAAACTCAGTCTACAAAAATGAGGCGAGTTAGGCTTACTGATGTAAAACTTAAGGGTGCTTCAAGTTTTGTAATTGAGATAGTGTTTTCAGCATTTACTTTTAAAATTTATATTTATTGATGAGAGAGAAACATCAATTTTTTTGTTCGACCCATTGATGCATTCATTGGTTGATTCTTGTATATGCCCTGACCAGGGATCGAACTCGCAACCCCAGTGCATCAACCAACAGAGCTACCCTACCTGGTCTCAACATTTAAAAATAATATTTTGGTTCGGGGGGGGGGCGGGGGTGGTGAAGGTGGGTTTGGGGAGATACATGGTGATGGGACACTTGACTTGTGAACACACAATACAGTGTAGAGGTGATGTGCTGTGGAATTGAGCACCTGAAACCTGTATAATTTTGTTAATTAGTCACCCCAATAAATTCAATACAAAGGAAGAAAAACAAAGAATAATCAAGTTGTGAAACTGCTGCCTGTAGACGGGCAGCCTGATATAAAGGAAGTTTAATTGGAACAAATGCTTGCATCAGAGATAGGTAAGGTCAAGATGTGCAAATGTAGGGTTCCATTCTCTCATTTTTTCTTGGTATTTTGTTCATGGGTTTGTTTCTGCACTAACTTGCTATTATTATCTTGGTTACTGAGCTTTCTGGTATTCCCTTTAAAATTCTGCACCCGAGACGTCACTGTAGTTCTAGTCCTGAGAGCAGCCTACGAGGGCGGTACCAGTATTGTCCACATGTTATGAATGAGGAAACCAAACCTTGGAGAGGTGCAGTGATTTGGCCAAGGTCACACAGCAGAAAAAGCAGCAGAAGTAGGATATGAATTGGGGTAGCCTAGCTCCAGCTGCTAGGCTTTTAAGAGCCAAGCAAAGGCCCTGTCCACTATCCCTGCTCTAGGAAACAGCGTGGTTGTGGGGAAGAAGGTCAGCCTTGGGGCAGGCCACCAGTAAATTTTATGGGTATGCAGATCCAGGTTGGTTACTTCTGGGGTTCATCTAGGGTCTCTGCCCTCAGGAGATGGTGGTGCTTAGGGCTGTCTGGAGCTCTTTGGGGGCAAAGACACCCAGCTCTGTAATGATGCCACCAGTGATGAGGTCATGGGGGGTGACATCGAAGGCAGGATTCCAAACCTCAATTCCTAAAGGGCAGAGTAGAGACAAGGCAGGTATTTAGCTCTGTGCCAGTTCTCACACTGTTGTCACCTGTTTGCCCCATGGTGGTTCTTGGAGTTAGGGAACCCTTGAAAATCTGGGGATACTCATCTCAGAAGTGCATGAAGGCATGGGCTTTGGCATACAGTCACAAGTTTGTACCCACCCCCCGAAACACCATTCCTGAACGGTCACTGTCCAAGAACAAGGTTTCAGTCTTACATTCAACCACCCCATTTTGGCCTGGATCCTTTAAGAACTTCGGAGAACCTACTTTAGGGCCTTTGTGTGGGATCTGCCCTCTGCCTGGATGGCCCAGTGTTTCATTCCCTTCAGGTCTCTGCTCAGATGTCACCTTGTCAGTGAGGACATCTGTGATCATCCTATCTAAAGCCCCTGTACAGACACTTCCTTACCGTGTTTATGTCTCCTCAGCCCTTACCTCCTATAAATGTGTTATTTATCTTGTTCATTGTCTGTCTCCCTTACCAAACTGCCAGCTCTCTGAGGGCAGGGACTCTGTGTCTTTTTTTCACTCCTATATTTCAGCACTTAGCATTAGCCATGCACTCAGAAACATCTGCTGGACGAATTACTCGATGTAGATCACAACTTACTGTACAAGAGGCTGCAAACTGGTGGCCTGGAACTTTTCTCCCTGGCTCAGTTTTTTTAAGACCAGCTTTCAAAAGGTGGGAGTTTTCATTTACAAAAAAATGTAAGGCTTCTCTTGGAAAATCAGAAGACCCATTTCTCGGGTTTGCATTCCCGTGCCTGCTGACGGGAGCAGAGTATCAGGGCCCACAGCCGGCACCTGGCCCATGTTGCTCACGTCTTGCTGTCCCAGTTTTATTTCAGTGGGTGTGGGCTGTCAACTCTGCTTTCCATGGTTTTGTGGATTATGACCAGTGCTAATTACACCTCTAGGAAAGCAGGTGCATTAAAAAAAAGATTAAAAATTTCACAATTAATGTACCTGTTTTTAAAAAGATGTAAGGAATTGCAGCAGAAAATAATAGAATATTAGGACTTCCCTCTACTTAACTGTACAGTGTTATTTTTATCCTAACTCCATATTTAGTGGTGTCCTTATATTTTTAATGTTTAGGGGTTTTAACTGGTCCTTTTTATGAAAGGGTTTTAATCATAATTATTAATATTTAATGAGTACTAACGAAGGGCTGGGCCTATTCTCCATGTTGCGTGAGTTAATTCACTGAAGGCCCTGGGGTTTACGAGTGAGGTCATAGTAACAACTCACTTTACAGATAGAGACACCGAGGCTCTTAGGGATGAAAACTTAGGCAAACTGCCCACAGCTGCACAGCGATGAAGCACGGGGAAGCTGAGAAATATCTGTCTCTTCATAGGCACTTGGCTAAACAGTATTATTTGCTCTTCAGGTGAGAAAATCGAGGTGAAGAATGGCAAGACAATTTACTCAAGGTTTCTCAACTCATGAGTTGGATAATCTCACACTGAATTTGACCTCCAAGATGTTTCTGTTCTAAAACTGGCTTGAATTTGAAAATGACTGTGCCCTGGAAGGCTGGTGACACTCCAGATGCCACCTGCCTCCTGCGAAGCGGCTGGTGTATGTAACTGGAGGTGCCCTTCTGAGTGATGGCTTACCTGGTGCTGCAATCCTGACCCCGTTGACATCAGTCAGCTCCTGGCCTGGGCGCTCCTCAATGACAATCTGCTGGCCTGTCTCCAGACGAAGGTCACATGAGGAGCTGGGGGCAGCTACATAGAAGGGGATGCCATGGTGCTTGGCGGCAATGGCCAGTTGATAGGTGCCCACCTTGTTGGCTGTGTCGCCATTGGCAACCACACGGTCAGCTCCCACGATGACAGCTGAAAGCAAGATGTTAAGGGTTATCACCTAGCCCTGGACACCTGGAGTCCCATCCGCTGGCGCCCTGCCTGCTGACCTGACACGTCTCGGTGGGCCATGGCGGCGGCTGCCATGCTGTCGGCGATGAGGGTGGCAGGAATCTGCTCATAGACCAGCTCGAAGGCTGTCAGCCGGGCCCCCTGGTTGTAGGGCCGGGTCTCTGTGCAGAAGACATGTTCTAGGCGGCCAAGGTTGTGCAGTGAACGGATCACACCTGAAGGGCAAGACCCACCGGAAGGTCAGGATGAGACAGAAAGGGACAGATGGGCAGGGTGACCCATTATTTGGGGACACAGATCTCTAAAGACTCCCCATCTCCAGGCCCTTATGTTGGGTGTTCCCTCTGTTTAGTACCTGTGTGCTCAGAGAACACATTCTCAGTGAGTCCTTCTCTGATCCCTCCACCTCACACAGCAACCCCCACACCTCTGACCTCTTTCCCTGATTTTCCTCTTCAGCACTTACCACCATTGAGCACATCATATATGTTTATTGACTTTTGCCTGTTCCTCCCACTTTCCTGTCCTGATGGCTGAGATTTTGTTTTCTTTGTGTACTGCTGGCTCCCCACAGCTAGAACTACACCTGGCAAATAGTAGGTGCTTAGTAAATGTCTATTGAGTGCATGCGTGCATGAATGGCGGGGCACACAGCAGATGCTTAATGTTGAGTGAATGAAAGTATGCATGCTCGCACGAATGGTGGGGCACATAGGAGGGGCTTAATAAATGGTAAGTAAATGAAGGAATGCATGCATGCATGAATGAGTGGTAAAGCACCCAATAAGTGAAGTATTTGTTAAACAAATGAATGAATGATGTCTTGCCATCAGGGCCTCAGTCCCCAGGCTCCAGAGTTGGCCCCAGGCAGGTAGGGAAAGCTGGAGAATTTAGGGAATCTGATGCCTTGAACCCAGGTTCCCTCTTCTGGTGACAGCTACCCTAGTCATTCCTGGGGGCCACACCCTTCCCCTCAGTTCTCTTGAAATCCACATCCTGTCCACTCTGGCCAGGTGCATCAAGTGGTTGATCTTGGACGGGCAGGTGACCCCATCAGGGCCCTGGGCTACAAGATTTTCCTGGCACTGTTGGCACAGGAATCCTTGGCCCTTTTCCTCCTGATGTGAACATTGTAAGGCCCTCTGCTGACCCATTGAGTGGGAGCCGGAGGGCAGAGCTTAGGGACAGGAATAGATGGGTCCTACTGCTACTCTCTGAACCCCTGGATCCAGTCACACTTGAAGCCAACATCTAAGCATTTCTGTATAAGACCTAATCAATTTCCATTCTGCAGGGTGGGAAAAGTGGTTTGGGTTTCTTTCTCTTCATTCCAAAAGAGGCCCTCCCCCACCCCCATGGACACCCTCTCACTCACCCAGGGCTGTGCCGTAGCCAGCAGTGGCTAGTGCACCGGTGTTACAGTGGGTCAGCACGGTCACCTTGCTGCCCCCATGGGCTGCCCGCTCCAGGAGGTGGTGAGCTCCCAGGTCCCCAATTTTCCGATTGTCCCTGAGGTCCTTCTCCAGCATGTCCTCAGCATAGCAGATCACTCTGGGGCCAACAAGGGGCTCTCAGCCTCAGGGCCCGAGCTGGCCGCTTCTTCCTGTCCAACTCTCTTGCTGAAAGCCTCTCACGGCTGTGAGGCCTGGACCCTTCAGCCTTTGCCACCTGTCACTCCATTTACTCATGCAACACATGTTAACTGAGCACCTCCTGTGTGTGAAGTGCTGGGGGGCACAGCAGTGACCAAGACAAATATATGACTTCCGGCCAAGAGGGAAGAATTTTTAAAAATGAGGAGAGACTTAGGAACCTCTGGGACATCTTTAAACATTCCAACATCCGAATCATAGGGGTGCCAGAAGGAGAAGAGGAATAGCAAGAAATTGAAAACTTATTTGAATAAATAGTAAAGGAGAACTTCCCCAATCTGGCAAAGGAAATAGATTTCCAGGAAGTCCAGGAAGCTCAGAGAGTCCCACAGAAGTTGGACTCAAGGAGGAACACACCAAGGCATTACCCAAGATTAAAGATAAGGAGAGAATCCTAGAAGCAGCAAGAGAAAAGGAGGCAGTTATCTACAAAGGAGTTCCCATCAGACTATCAGCTGATTTCTCAAAAGAAACCTTGCAGGCAGGAAGGGGCTGGAAAGAAGTATTCCAAGGCATGAAAGGCTAGGACCTACATCCAAGATTGCTCTATCCAGCAAAACTATCATTTAGAATGGAAGGGCAGATAAAGTGCTTCCCAGTTAAGGTCAAGTCAAAGGAGTTCATCATCACCCAGTCCTTATTATATGAAATGTTAAAAGGACTTATCTTGAGAACCAAAGCATTGCAGGTTCAATTCCCAGTCAGGGTACATGCCTGGGTTGCAGGCCATGGCCCCCAGCAACTGCACACTGATGTTTTTCTCTCTCTCTCTTTCTCCCTCCCTTCCCTCTCTAAAAATAAATAAAATCTTAAAAAAAGGACTTATCTAAGAAAAAGATAAAAAATATGAACAGTAAAATGACAACAAACTCACAATTATTAACAACCGAACCTAAAACAAAAACAAAAATGAACTAAGCAAACAACTAGAAGAGGAAGAGAATCACAGAAATAGAGATCACATGGAAGGTGATCAGCGGCGGAGTGGGAGGGGAACAGAAGAGGAAAAGGCACAGAGAATAAGTAGCATAAATGGTAGGCAGAAAATAGGGGGAGGGTAAGAATAGTATAGGAAATGTAGAAGCCAAAGAAGTTATATCTACAACCCATGGACATGAACTAAAGAAGAATGTGGGTGGGAGGGGGTGTGCAGGGCAGAGGGGATTAAGCGGCGGGTGGGGTGGGACAATGTAATAGCATGATCAATAAAATATATACTAAAAAAAGACAAATATCCGTGCCCCTGTGGGGCTGATACTGGAGTGGGAGAGGCAAACAATGAGCAAGTATTGGTAATAAGGTGAAGGAAAAGGCAGCAGAGTTGGGGGCTGGGTGGGAAGAGGGTAGGGTGGGGTGGAATGTGCTATAACTTATGGGAGGTAGGGAAAGACAGAAACCTCAAACCTGAAGGTGGGCATCTGCTCTGCAGATACCCAGCCTGCAAAAGTGGACTGTGCAAAGGCCCTGGGGCAGGAACGAGCCCAGGCTGGTTAAAGAACACGAGGGGCATGATTTAGCTAGAGTGGAGCGGGAGAGTGAGAAAAGAAGAGGGTCGAGAGGGCATCAGGACAAGAAACAAAATCCCTCAAAGGCAAAAACCAGGAGAAGGAGGTGGCACTGAAAAGGACCCCCAAGGGCAGTGGGGGCTGAGCATGTTCAGAGAAGGCACAGTTACGGGAATAAGTGTAAGGACTTCTGAGCCAGGCTGTCTGGGGTCAACTTCCAGCCCTGCCTTTGTGGACTTGGACTATGAGGGCCATATCTGTTTCCCATCTGTAAAATGGGTTAGCTTCTGCTCAGAGCAGTGACTGGCACAATTCCCCCTACCTCTCCCGGACAGCCTCCTCCGTGGCGCCCTCCTGCTCGGCCTCCTGGGCTGCAGCGTTGGCCAGGTCGCGGGCAGCGCGGGCCATATTCACAGCAGTGGGTCGGGCGGTGACCAGGAAACTCAGTGTGTCGCGCACGAAGGCCACGAGCGCGTTGAGTCCCGGACCTCCAGCGCCGGCCTGCAGCTCCACGGCCAGGCTGAGGCAGCCTACAAGTGCAATAGCAGGGGCGCCGCGCACCTGTAGGAGAGGGGCGGGGCGTCAGGGGCGCCCGGCACCCGCACGCCCGACCCCAACCCCGCCGCTGCACCCCACCTTCATAGCGCGGATGGCTTCCCAAGCCTGTCGCACTGATCCCACCACCTCATAGTGGCATTGCTGGGGCAGCAGCAGCTGGTCGAGGATCTGCAGCGAGCCCCGCGAGTAGCGGATAGCCTCCAGGGAAGGCATGGTGCCGCCAACGCGCTCCCCAAGCTCTCCAGCGCAGCGGGCCGCAGGCACGTGGGGGCGGAACCTCCCGGAAGCACGCGCGTGCGCACAATAACCTTGCAGGTTCCCAGGACTCAAGGTCTACTCCGCCAATCCTACCCCTCAATCCCGGCCACACTCGGCCAGTTAGCCTCCCCCTTGGAAGTGTAAAGGTGTCACCATTTACCAGGCACCTCCTGGATGCCAAGCCCTGTTTAGCGCCCTGCTGATCCGTTAGGGGCACATACCACGACCCCCACATCCCAGGTGCCTGACTTATCCAGGCAGAGCGAATGCTGCTGGTGACGTCAGGTAGAGAAAGTCCCTAATTGAAGATTCCAGGAACTGACTGGCTCTTACTGCTGCCCTGAGACTTTATCAACCCCTTGGGGAGCAGGGCTGGTGGGCTGGAGGCAGCCACTGGCACCACCATGTTTGGCTTACTAATTCAGCTGGAACCTCAGCCCCAGGTTTTCTGTGTTTTGTTCACTGCGTGTTCTCGTGGCCAGAACAGTGTCTGGCACACTACTGGTGCTCCACCAGTATTTGTGGAATGAACTTTCAAGGTTTAGGGGAAGGTGGCAGGCTATGAGTCACCTGGTGATGTGCATCTTTTTCGAGCTATTTTCTGCTCAGTTTTACCAGTTTCCTTCAAAAGCAGCAACATGCTGGGGCCTTTTTAGTGACCCCCTTTAAGGTGCCCCCATGGGCTGTGGACAATTAACAGCTCACACTTGCAATGGGCATTCCATGTGCCTCCCAGCCCTGGCCACCGTGCATGGCTCCTGCTGCCTGGTCCCCTTCTCACCCTTCACACTCAGCCTGAGCCATTCCACTGGGAAGTCTGTCCTGATTGCAGACCAACTTGAGCCACTACCTTGAAACCCTCATTATGCTGGGTGAGGACCATGGCTGTGGTCATAGTCGCCATTTGCTATGAGAGACCTGTCAGGTTCGGTTGGGTGATGGGGTGGGGGAGAGAGGCAGCTCCCGGGGCCCGTTTAGTAACCCAAGGCAGAGGCAAAGAAGCAGGGCTTTAATGTTGGGGTGGGGGTCCTACAAGGCACATACACCCTCTCCAGGACCAAATAAATAATTCCATCAGTGCAGGAAGGCGAGGTCTAGGGAGGGGGTGACATCTGAGCTCTCGGATAGCTGGTGGTCCAGTGGGGCTGAAGTCTGTGAGGGGCTTCCTGGGTGTGCCTCAGCCTCTGGAGGCATTCAGTCCTCACAATCACTCACTCTCTGAGTCTGAGTAATCAGCCACGAGGGAGGAGCCGAGGCAGGGGTATGGCACATCCTGAGGGACAGGTGTCTCCTGGGAGGAGCCTGAAGAGGACCTCGGCCTGTCCTGACAGCTCCCATCCTGCCCTTGAGGTCCCCTTGTATTGGTGGTCTTGACTGTCTCCCAAGAGCAGTCTTGGGGGGATATGGGCCTGTCCTGGGTGGTGCCCTCTGACACCTGGGGCTCCCCAAACTTGGAGGTCTCAGCCAGGCACTGCGGGTTCTCTGAGATCTCCCGGGACTGCCTTCGCACAATACCCAGGTCCCCCACGGTGATGGGAGAGCCGGTGGTTGCAGATCTGCGGTTCTGGGCCAGCTTCTTCAGGACGCTGCCAGCTTTGCTGCTGCTGCTGCTGCTGGGTCCTGAGGCTGATGGAAACCAGGAGCGGCTGACGATCTCTGTCCGCTTGAGTTTCTGCTTGTCCTCATATGCTGGCGGGGAGGGAGAGAAGGGGAGGGAAGGAGGTCCAGAGCCACCCTCTGCCTGGGTCTGCCATGGCCCACTCAGCTGGGACCGCTATCTCTCCCCACCCCAACCCCTGTGCCCTCTGGCCCCCACGCACAGTCCAGGGTATGGAACTTGAGCAAGGCGGCCAGCCTGCGGTCGTCCTCTGTCTCTGGCACCAGCGGGATGGCCAAGCTCGCCTTAGCCTGCAGTGCCTGGTCCCTCTCTTCCTCCTCCTGCAGGGCTTTTTTCTTTTCCTGTTGGGAGAAGTGATGTGGGTGTCAAAGTTTTGCCTCTTCTGTGCCTGCTGACTCGGGGGCATCGCTCCAGAACTCTGGGTCTCAGCTTTCTCTTCCCTACACTCAGGGCAGGAGAAAGCCTCACACTTTGGCTGGGGCAGAAAAGTCACTCAACAAATGAGAAGTGCAACTGTCATTCATATGTGTACCTTTCAGTTTTTCACTCATTCGTTCCAAATATTTACAGAATGCCTACCTTGTCCCAGGCCTTATTCTAGACACTGGGGACCCAGCAGAGAGCAGACAAAGCCCCCTGCCCTTGTAGAACTGACATTCTAGTGGGCAAGACAACAGTGGTGGGGAGAAAAAGAATGCCAGGAAGGGCAAAAGGAGTGGGCAGGGGTCAACTTGAAATGTGATGTGGGGTGACAAAAAGGGTTAGGGACTGTCTCCCTGAGATCATGTCTGAGAAAAGACATCTGAATGGGGGGCCATGTGGGTGTCTGGTGGAAGAGTGTTCCAAGGTGGAGGGAACAGCCTGTGCAAAGGCCCTGAGGCAGAAGTATAGTGGAGTTCTTGAGGAAGAGTGAGGCCAATGTGGCTGAGCAAGGGGAAGGTGGAGACGGGGGTGCAGAGGGGAAGGGGCAGATCATTCAGACCTGGTGGGCCAGAGGGAAGACTTTGGTTTCTACTATAAGTGGGAGCCATGGAGGGTTCTGAACACAGGAGGGAGGTGACTGACTCAGTTGTTCATAGGTGTCCCCTGGTGGCTGTGGGGGGGCAGGGAATGGCCTGTTGGGGGTGGGAGGGTGGGAGCCTGGAGACCAGGGCAGACAGCCTGTGCTGGTCCAGGAAGGAGACGATGGGGGTGGTGGAAGTAGGCAGATACTAGACATGATTTGAAGGTACAGGCTGACAGAACTAACTGGACATGGGGAGGGGGAGTCAAGGGCAACTCCAGGCTTTGGGAACTCAGTGCCTAGAAGGGCAGATTGCTGTCTTGACTGAGAAGGGGAGGAAGTGGGCGGGGCAGGTTAGGGGCTGAGGTATGTATGAGGTGGGCTCCTGGGGATAACATGTTTGAGGGTCCTTAGACTCTCCCTGCTCCCTCAACCATGCAGACGCCCAGAAGGCAGGGGACACATAGCTCAGGGTGCAGGCCTGGCTGAAAGGATACACTTTCAGTAATAAACAATTAGTAAGAAAACTAGTAATTTTACTCCTAATGATAAGGACCACAGAATGATCAGGAAAGAGACAGGAAGAGATGGGGGCTCTAGGATGGTGAGGGAACTTGCAGCCTGGGGGGCCATTCTGAACACCCCTGCCTGGGCTCCATTTGCAGCGTCCAGGGGTGCAACCTACCCCCTCAGAGTGAGAGAAGAGGAAGGATGTCCTCCTCGTGCCCTGCTGGACACCATGAGGGTGAAACACCCATTTTCATCACACTCCTCCGAGCCCTGACTCCCTGTGACATAGCTCCACCAAGTATTTCCAGAACAAGGTCAGCCATGGTGGTCGTTGACAGCAGTGTCCCTGGGGTGTCCTCAAGTCAGGACTGAGCTGCAGGGAGTAAGAGCCTGCATTGGTAGCTGTGCCCTCAGTGACTCTTCACGCAGGCGCAGATGTCTTGCCCAAGCATGTCCACGTTGAAACCCTCATTACTATATTTTGTTATACATTTTTCCTTTTTTTCTGTCATAGACAGGGCATGGCAGGGGTGATTCTGGAAATTATTTGGGGGCATGTTGACAATCTGCAGATTTAATTTTGAGATAACTGAGTGGGCCCATGAAATGTGTGTTAGGAGCTGACCAGTAGGTCAGTGCCCTGTTGGGCCTCTGCCTGACAGACTCAGGTCTCACTGTGCCCCGGCTGACAGCTCATTTTCCCTTTGAGGTCTTATGCAAGTGAAGCCAGGTCCCCTCCCAGGGGGAAGGGGCTATGTACTTAATAATAGCTGTTGGGCTAGGGGTCTCCCCTGGGCACTGTGAGGCCCCCATGATGCATATGGAGAAACTTGGGCGCAGTGGTGAAATGACATGTTGATAGCAAGGATGTGGTGGGGCTTGGGCTGGACCTGGGTCTTGACTTGTCCTGTTGGTGGTGCCAGGTGCCTACCCCCCACCCCGCCCCACCCCACCCTGGGCTGCAGCCCACTCACCCGGAACCTTTTCCGCAGCATGCTGTTGAGGGCGAAATCGTCCTTCCAGGCGCTCTGTGCCTCCTGGATGTGGCTCAGGGTGGGAAGGGCTTTCTTGAGTGTGCTTCGGTCAGCCTCACCATGCTCCAGGCGGAACATGGCATCTGTCTCCAGCTTCTGCTTCTTCTCGTGCTCTGCAAGGGTGAGAGCATGGCTGTGCCTTCTGGGACCTGGCTCAGGCTCAGGCTCAGGCTCAGGGATGGCTTTGGGGCTGTCCATGGAGCTCACCTGTCGTCAGCACCTGCTCGTTGTCTGCCATGTCCCAGCGCTCTTCCTTGCGCTGGGCGCCACTCACAATCACATAGTCACAATTGGCAGGGTCTGTCTGCATCTCAATGTAGTTGATGCAGAGGTGGCATTTCATCCGGAATCTGGGTGGTGGGCACGATTCAGGACACTGCTGCTACCTCAGGCTATCATGCGATCCCTGCCTGTTTCCCTCCACCTATGCACACCATTCCACAAGTGTTCACTAAGCACCTACTGCATGCTACATGCCAGGCTCCATACCTGGGGGTAGAGCCACAAGCGAGACAGACATGGTCCCCTCACTCCAGAACTAACCTTCTGACTGGAGTTTGTTTGTTCATTCACTCACTTACTCAACAAACCTTCCTGAGCTAGGCTGCTCTGTGGCAGGCTTGGCACCAGCTGCCAGGAACACAGCAGTGAAACAAGCCAACCTACTCTTGGAGGGACTAACATTCCAGCAGGGGTGATGTTGCCTGCAAAGGCACAAGCAACCACAGTGTGTGTGTGGGGGGTGCTCCTCACTCTAGAAAAGGCTCTCTGAGAGCTGGTGTTGGAGGAGAAACCTGATGTGAGGGACAGAACCTTGCAGATGTCTTGGGAAGACTGAGTGTTCCAGGCAGAGGACACAGAGGTGGGACCTCTGTAAGAGAGGGACAGCAAGGAGGCCGTGTGGCTGGTGCAGAGTGAGGCAGAGACTAGAAGGAGGTAAGGGCAGGTAGGGGACAGAGCAGAGTGTTTGGGGTCTTGTAGGCCATAGGGAGGACTTTTACTCTGAGTAAGGTGGGAGCCATGGAGGATTCTAAGCAGAGGGACGGGCTGATTGACACCCCAGGACGGTTTCCAGGACAGACCCGCAGGGAACTGCTATCAGGAAGAGGGTAGGAGCCCCCTCCCACTGAGACTCCCTTACAGCCCATTCACCCTGCGGTCCCTCTGTGTCCCTGAGACACCTGCTAGGCTGCCTCTACCTGTAGATTGGGGTTGTGTAGTAATTGCCAACTTTCTTCTTTTCTGCGTTGTAACGAACACCTGGAAGGAGAGGGAGAGAGTGGAGGCCCAGGCTCAGGCCACTCCAGTGTCTTGCCCCTGGGTGGGGGGCAGACAGGGGTGGTATCCTGCCACCCTGCAGGGGAGGTACCTTGGGAGGGCACTGAAATTCAAGGCAGAGCTGTGTTCAGGCTGTGTGTGTGACAGGCACTCAGGCTACAGCAGAGGGTGGACAGGAGCCAAAAGGCCTGGGTTTGAATCCCGATCCTGCCAGCTGTCAGTTTGTGAGGGCCTCACCCCTCCGGGCCTCAGTTTCCCCACCTATACAATGGGGATGAGTGCAACGCCTACTGTCCAGGGCAACTGTGAGAACGGTAAGAGCTAATGATCGTGTGACTGCTTAGAGTAGGGCCAGGCTCTGCAAGCATCCAAGAAGGGCTGGATTTATTATTTTTCTAGAGAATTTTCAGGTTTTTTTGTTATTTTGCTGGCTAGAAGATATGTATTTTTGACTCTGTATGACCTTGCTTATCAGTGAAAAAAAGTTTAAACTGGACAAACAGAGCTTGGGCTGGCGGGTGGCATGGCTTGGCTGGGTTTTCCTTTCCTGGTGGCTACTTCCCTTCATGGCCTGCGGTGACCCATGTGTGGGCAAGCCAAGCCCCACTCTCCGTCCCCTGAGTAGCTGGTGGCCTTTCAGGCAGATTCCCCTGACTGGGTCTGATTGAGCAGACATAACAGGGGCTCACTTGTCCTTCTCAGCAGCGGGGTGGCCTGGCATCCCCCTTCCTGCACTTCCACAGCCTCTGTGAGGAGGACTGTACCCTGTCACTGAGAGCCACCAGCTCCTGTTTACAGAGCGAGCTGCTCCCTGGCCCAAGAGCTGTGTGAGGAGCTGAGGGAGGCACCGTGAGGACGCCAGAGGAGGAAATGGGGTCAGGGGAGTTGAGCCACCTGACTGAGGTCTCCCCACTGCTGAGTGCAGCCTTGGCCCCATGCCTGTGTGTCATCTGTGCACCTCTGGCATAGTCAGAGGTCTGACAGGTAATGGTAACAGTAAAGGGCAGTGACAGCAGCAGATTGAATATATGAGTCCTCACACTGTGCCATGTGCTGTGCACTCGGCACTTCATATGCCACGTAGGTGGACACTCATATCATCTGAATTTTCAGGTGGGTAAACTGAGGCATAGAGAGGCTCAGTCATTTGTCCACGGTCATCCAACTAGGAGGTGAACCCAGAGCCTGGCCTCCTCACCACTCTGTGATAAGGTGTCTGCCGCCCGCCCGTCACTTGGGCGCCATCTCCTCCCTGACTCCTGATTGGGAGTATCCCGGGGGTGACACTTGCAGTTCGTGGGCTTCAGTGTCTGTGGGGCCGAATGGGTGGGACTGGCAGGAGCAGGGGGTGAGTGTAAACTCACCCATGCCGATGTGGTTCTTGCAGCCGTCACACCAGATGTTATACGGCATCTCGAACCTACACAAACAGAAGACAGCTCCTTTGCTCCTGCTCACAGGACTCTCCCTTGGTCTCCACCCCTGCAACAATGGCCACAGCTGCACTGCAAAGGGCCCGTGCACAGTGGGCACAAAGAATGACTGGCGAACGTTCCCACAGCGAGGCCCATCCGGTCTGCTGCTCCCTGGCCAGCCGACCCAGGCGGGGAGAGTCTCCATGGGTGCTGCTGCGTTTTCCATGCCTCACCACGCCAAACGGCCAGGACCAGAGGGGGAAGTGGTAGGGGCACTGGTGTCTTTTGAGTTAGTCAAGTGTTTGTACTGTCACCAATTCCTTTTCGATTTCTTTTTCACATGCGGTTCTATGTATGACACGCAATTCTGGTTTTCTATGAACAGCAGTGACAGAGCTTCCCTTTTAAAATAAAATGCTAAGTAATGAATAATGAGGAGGTGAGGGCTCAGCTACCACAGTGGACAGGGGTGGTGTGCGCAGGTAGGCCCCAGGCAGGCAGGCAAGCCTGGCAGGCTCTGGGGCACGGAAACACGGAGTGAGTTTTGATGAGACCTTCTGCCCTGTGCCTCCTGAGATTACTCTTGGGAACTTGTGTCTTGACTCTTTTTCCACAGATGTTTCCTCCTCTGGTGGTTTTGTCACGGGATCCTCTGCTCAGGCCCAGGGTAGGCATGGGACAGAGGTCAGAGTTCATGAGGCAGAGAAGGAAGGAGTGAAGGGTTTGCTCTTCTGGGGACATACATCTGGCTTCCTGCCAAGGAAGGCTGGCCAGAAACGGGAGAATCCCCAGGGAAGGGCCATTGCCCTGGCCCCACTGCAGTAATGGCTCTAATTCCTCATTTTCCTTCTTCATTTTCCCCGTGTCTGTGCCCTTTGCAATGAGACTCTGCAGCAGTTCCTGTTAGGAGGTGAAGGGCAGCACGACGCATTTCGAAAAATCCACGGCACAGAAGTGACAGTGTGCCAGCTTTGGGTGTTGGCCTCAAGAGGCCTCATGCACCTCTGCTCACTCTCTTTTGGAACCTGCAGCTGTTGTATAAACAAGCCCAGGCTGGATGGCTGGAGGATAAGGCACATGGAGCAGAGCCCAACTGTGCCACTCACAGCCATGCTGGGCCAACCAGTCCCCAGCCAGCTGACCCCCAAACATGTGAAGGAGCCTGGCCCAAGTCAGCCGAGTCCAGTCCAGGCCAGCAGAGGCATTCAGCTGGGCCGCAGACTTGTGAGCAATAATATGTGCTTATTGTTTTGTTATGTGGCAACAGCTAACTAATACAGTGACTCTCTGATTAACAGAATTAAGACCCTGCAGCATTGGGCAAAACTGAGTGCTGAATTCTCCTTGAGATTGAGGTCAGGTAGTACAAGGGGCAGGGGTCCTCAGGCCTTACCTGATGACGAGGATGCCCTGGGACAGCTTCCGAGCCCGCTCCCGCAGCGGGTGGCTATGGTGGTACCGGTTGAGAGAGCCATGCTGTGCAGAAAGGAGGAGGGAGAGGGTTAGCGCTGCTGAGCTGGGCAAGCTCATGCTCTCCTGCATAGATCGAGAGGGGCATCTTTCTTATGACTTACCAGGGGTACTAATAGTGAAATGGAAGGCACAGAGGCCCTGGTGAAGCCAGTGGGGTTGGACTCAGGAATACATGAGTTTGAATCTTTCCTCTCCAATTTTAGAGCTGAAAGAGCTGTGTGAGCTTGGGTAGTAACCTTACCTTTTGACTTCCTGAGCCTCGGTTTCCCGTAATCATGGCCAGGTGTTGTGGGGAAAAATTAGGTGAGATGACAATATCGGCAAAGGTTTACTGGGTACTTTATCTGTGTTTTCTCACTTAAATACCTCAATGATTCTGTGAGGACAAGTTGTTTTATTTCCTTTTTTAGCATTATTTTTAAATAAGATTTTATTTATTTATTTTTAGAGAAAGGGGAAGGGGCAGGAGAGAGGAGAGAAACATCAATGTGAGAGAGAAACATCCATCAACTGGCTGCCTTTTGTACACTCCCAACCAGGGACCGAACCCACAACCCAGGCATGTGCCTTGACTGGGAATTGAACTGGTGACCCTTTGCTTTGTGGAGTGATGGCCAGCTGAGCCACACTGGTCAGGGCTTACTTCTTTTTTGCCATGAGGAAATTGGTACACAGAGCCTGAGTTAGGGCCTGGGGCCACGCAGCCAGATCACACGGACCCATTTGGCAGACCTTACCAAGCATCTGAAGTATGGGGACACAGCCGTGAACAAGAGGAATTGTCTCTGCCCTAGTGGAGCCAGTGTTCTAAAGGGGCAGATGGACAACACCCGAATAAAGGGACAATGCATCAGGGAGTTATATGGGCTATGAAGGGAAATAAAGCACTAGGTGACGAGATGGAGAACAGATGGGGGTCAGGGAGGCCCTCTGTGAAGACAGACATAAAGGAAGGGAAAGAGCTCTGTGGTCAAACAGAGGAAGAGGTTCTAGGCAGAGGGAACAGCAGAGGGTACGACCAGAGGAGCTGGAGCCAGGGGAGCTTGAGTGCCTAACCTCAACCTCAGCTCCACCAGAAACACGCCACACTGAGCACAGAGTACAAGGTCACTGATGAGAGCCACGTTTACCACTGGGAATGAAGACCAGCCTGAGACTCGCATCACAAGCACAGGGCAGAAAGATCTCAGGGCCACCCATGCTCTAGCAGCCATGGCTCCGATTCAGGAGGGGATGAGGTACCTCCTGGGCCCTGCCCTGTGTAGTCTCTGCTATCATGGATGGAGAAGGAAGCCTACTCCTTACCTTTTCAGGATTGAAATCTGGAGGGTAGTACTTGTTTACTCCTTTCCTTTCACCCTGGAAAGCAGAAGAGAGACATTACTCAGAGCGGGTCCTGCAGGAGGCGCAGTAGCACAGACTCAATGGGCAGAACCTGGATGAGGGAGGCTGAGGATGGCCCTGGGTTCCATGTCTGACCAGGGACTGGTGACCTGGCAGAAAAACCCACTATTGTGGCCGTGGAAAATTCCACTAGGGTTCAACTATCCTAGAGCAATGGCTTTCAGTATTTTGGGTGCCGTGACTTATGGTAAGACGTGTTTAGCACTGCAGCAGTGCACGCACACCCATAATACAGCTGAGGCACAGGTTTTGTGAAAGAATGCTTACTCTGGCTGGGGAGTCTCTTTTCAAATGCTGGCAGCCACCTGCTGTGTTGACTGAAGGACCCACCAAAGCAGTGGGTCTCACACATGGCTACAGGCTACAGCCACCTGAGGAGTTCTTAAAATACTGCTAAGAGGGACCCACCCCCAGAAAACTAGCAGAGAGCCTGCTCTGAGGAGTGGCACCTGAACACTGTGCCTTTAAGAAGCAACCCGGAAACTGTGTTTAAACAAATTCTTGTATATGCTTGTTCACAACGGCATTATTCACAATGGCCAAAAGGTGGAAAAAACCCAAATGCCCATCAATGGATAAATGGGTAGCCAGATATGGTCCACCCACACACTGGAGTATTATTCAGTCATAAAAATGAATGAAGCTCTGACACAGGCTGTAGTGTGGATGAACCTTGAAGACATGATGTGAAGTGAAAGAAGCCAGACACAAAAGGCCACATGGTGTACGAGTCCCTTTATGTGAAATGTCCTGAACAGGCAAACCCACAGAGATGACGCAGACTGGTGGCTGCCAGGGCTGGGGGAGGGGGAAAGGGGAGTGACTGCTGATGGGGATGGGGTTTACTCCTGGGTGACGGAAATGTTTTAGAACTAGATAGAGGAGATGGTTGCACAACATTATGAATGTATTAAATGCAATGGGATGATACACTTTATTTATTTTTTAAAAATTTATTTATTTTTAGAGAGATGGTGCTGATGAAAACAGAGACAACACTGGACCAAAGAAGCTGTGTGACTCCCCTGTCAGCTCCCTCTTCGAAGAGAAATGGCATGTCTGCACGTTTGTGCTCCCCCTAGGAACCTCTCCCTCCCAAATCCCCACGTTTACCCTATCTGAACTTGCTTCTACAAGCTCAAGGTAAGGTGGATATTACTGTTTCAATGCTCCACCTTCTCAACTGTTAGCCTCTGATATAAATAAAAATGCAATTATAATGCAATCCCTGTCACTACTTTTTGGCTGAGTGGTGACAGGCAGAATGAGCTCTGGACTGGGTTGACCTTCTGTTTCAAGTAGAAGCAAGGGAGGAAGAGAGGGAGAGAAACACCAATGTGAGAGAGAAACATCAATTGGTTGCCCTCATAGGTGCCCCCAACTAGGGATCAAACCCACAACCCAGGCATGTGACCTGACCAGGAATAGAACTGGCAACCTTTCAGGATCTGAGGTGATGTCCAACTCATTGAGCCACATCAGTCAGGATGGGATGATGAATTTTGAAATGGTTAATTTTGTAGGTAAATTTCACCTCATTAAAAACAAAAGAAAGAAAACAGCTTCCTGGGTGATTCAAGTGGGCAGCAAAGTTTGAGAACTGCACCAAAAGATCATAAATCCAGAGTTTGAAAATACCATCTTAGAGCTCAGGCACAAAGAAGGGGCTTTCAGAGGTGAAGGGGCTGCTGTGGGGGTCTGATAAAGACTACAAAAGAACCCCAAGGAGCACATGCCAGTCTACTCACCATCTTGGGAGCTGCCTACAGGTCCTCACCCTCAATGAAGCCGATCTGAAAAGACAAGACACTGACACTGATGAGCTATGTTGGCTGTCTGCCTTGTCGCACCCTCCTGGGGAGCCTGGCAGAGGGCCCACGGCTTCCTTGAGAAGATGCTGTGGGCTGGGTCTGGTGGTGGCACTCAGAAGAGCCCCCTGCCCCCAGGTGTAGGAGGTGTCCAAAGAGTGGCATTTGCTGGTTTGAAAGAGAGCATCCTGCCCACTCTCCGTGCAACATATATTCACAGCTAACACCTCTCACCCGCACAGCTCCTATCACCACTCTTCTGGACCACTGCAGTCATTTCTCTCTGGTGTCCCGCTCCTGCCTTCAACTCCCACAATCTGTTCTTTTCACAGAGGTCAGGAGGACCTCTTAAAAAATGAATCTGAAATGTCATTCTTCTGCTTAAACCCCTCCTATGATTTCCTTTGCTTTGAGAATCACATCAAGCTCCTCCCTGCGGCCTGCCCCTCCAAGCCTGCCTCGTACCCCTCTCCCTTGTGCTCACTCTGTTCCAGTCACACTGGTGTTCTGGCTGCCTTCAGAGGCTAAGCAGGTGCAGGCCAGCTGCCCTGAGTGCTCCTCCTGGAGCTGTCCGTTTTTTTGTTACAGGTCTCAGCTCAAACATCACTTTTGTCAGAGGCCTCGTTGGAGCCACTTCTTTGCTGGCATTCTTACCACATCACCCTGCATCTCTCTGCTTGTCTACAGCTCTCTCCTCCGCAAGGGTTCACCTTTCTGTATCTCTAGCACCAAGGACAGTGCCTGGTCTCTGATAAATTCTGATGAAGAACCACTAATTAAGGTTCCCTAAGAATCAGTGCAGGTGACACAGGTATCAGATGTAGGGGCATCCCCTGCACCCTGTGTGTGTGGAGAGACTTTTAGGTCTAGAATGGGGATTGGCAAAATTTCTATTAAGGAACACATAGTGAATACTGCTGGCTTTCTGGACCAGACTGTCTGTCCCAACAACTCAACTCTGCCTATCACGGTTAGAAAGCAGCTGTGGACAACAGGTAAATGAATGGGTGTGCCAGCACTCTGATAAAACTTTACTTAGGGACACTGAAATTTGCATTTCACACGACTGTCACCTGTCACAAAATATTATTCTTCTTTTCATTTTCCCCTAATCATTTAAGAAGTTAATACTACTCTTAACTAGCAAGTTGTACAAAATCAAATTGGTTTTGGCCTGTGGGCACAGTCTGCCAGCTCCCTGGGCTAGCGTCAGGAAGCTTGGTCTAATTGTTTCTGCCAGTCTAGCTGTGCACTCTTTAACGGTTACAGTGTGCCAGCTGCTGCACTGTGTCTGACATCATTGCCTCATTTACTCTATATTATGTTACTATTATCTCCATTGACATGGGGGATTGAGTATTAGGTTGGCCAAAAAGTCCATTTAGTTTTTTCTGTAAAATAAAAGACACACCTTTCATTTTCATCCATAACTTTATTGATTTGGGTATTTTTAGTATGCTGGCTATCTCCCTCTATTGGCTTCTAGTGGGCAGAGGCCAGGGGTGCTGCTAAACATCTTCCAATGCATAAGACAGCCCCACTGCAAATAATTATTTGGCCAAAATGTCAATAGTACCAAGAAACTTTGCAAACCATTTTTGACACGTTTGATCACAGCACATTCTCCATACACCACACAAACCTTTTATTGCATTTGTTGTGTTTTTACTTTTTTGAAATGATAAAGCATAATATACTGAAAATGTTGCACATATCCTTCCATCTTCAATATTAAAATGACTGCACAAAATTGACCAATTTTGATGTTTTTTTAAATGCATGCTGATATGACAGCTGTCACAATACAATCTAACAAAATTGTTTCTAATGAAGTTAAAGACAACTAAGCACTACTAGAGCCATCATACGGAAAAAACTAAACAAGCTTTTTGGCCAAACCCCAAACTTGTCCAGGGTCAGAAGATGATGGGGAGGTAGAGTTGGGGCACAAAGTGTTGTAAACTATTCCACCTTGTCCTGAACCTCTCTCCATCTTGTGTTCTCCATCTGTAAAGTGTGCTTCTAACCAGATTTTCCTAAGGTCCCTTCCAATCTAAAAATGCTTTTGTTAACAAAACAGTTAAATGACCACACAGGCTTTAAAGTCACAGTCCTTTGAGCTTGAACCCCAGCTTTACTTCTCATTCACTGGGTGACCTTGGCTAGTGTCTAAATTTCCCCGAACTTATAATTCCTCACCTGTAAAGAGCAGATGAGGTCAATAGGGCTGACTTTCTGGCATTGTTGCAGATGACATAATACACTGGGAAGTGCTTGCACAAAGTACTCTGTTTATAGGAGCTGGGGATCTTAACATGGTTTTACTACCCCAGTGATGGTATAGCTGAGGCTATAGGGTGGATATATAGAAATCTCTGATCCCTGGTGTCAAGAGTAATCATAGACTGCATGTGCCCAGGACATACTGTTTGGACTGAGATACAAACTCTACTGCTTGTGAGCGCCTTGGCCTGACTTTGGGCAAGCTGCTGTCTTTGAGCCTCAGTTTCCTCAATTGCAAAATGGGGTTTATAAAAGTACCAACCTGATAAATTAAATATTAAAACTCAGTGAGTTATATAAAGTTCTTAGAACAGCTCCTGATGCCGAATTAATCGCTAGTAGTTTTGGTATCTCATGTCCACCGTTTTACAAGCATCATTTTACAAAATGTTCATCACAACCCAGTGCGGTAGGAGGTTACTGGTTCCACTTTCCAGATGTCATAAACTCAGGGGCCCTTGAGGCATAATAACGGGCCAAGGCTGAATCTGGGGTCACGACGGTAGCCAGGGATTTGGGTCGTGGGTCGCGAATGGGACCCGGGCCGGCTCCGAACATCGGACCTGCGACCACAGAGCCCCGCGACCTCCGATATGACAGCTCCCGCAGGGTGGCTCCGAGACTGGGTGAGGTAGCAGATTGACCCCCAGCCCAACCAGGCCTGCCAGCCCCTCCGCCTCCTCGGACTTACCTGCCCCCTTCCTGACGTCACAGCGCTCCTATGCCCGGAAGTGGGTGCTAGACGCGCTAGGGGCGTAGCGCACTCCGAGTGACGAGAGACGCCTGCGAGAGGCGGGGCTAGGCGGCAGCGCCTCGCTGACTGGCTGAGTAGTGAACACGCTGCGCGCTCTTAGTGGAGTAGACCACTTCAGGCCTGCCCCTTCCCACTGCTGACGCGTCAAGATGCCCACCTTCGGTCCCGCCCACTCTGCCTAGCCCAATCCGACGCCTCCCTCCCTAACGGCGCCCTCCCAGAAGCACAGTCTCGCCAGCTGAAACCTTTCAGCGAGGGTGGGAGAAGTCCCTGCTACTCAGGGCAAAGTAAAGCAGCCTCATGGTTTTGAACAGCTAACGAGCTAAGGGTTGTTTTTCCATTCGTAAATGGTTAGGGTAAAAAGAAAAATCGAAAGAATAACATTTCGTGACGTGAAAACAATAAGAAGTTTTAGTATTCATAAATGAACTTTCATTAGAATACAGCTAAGTCCGTTTATTTACCTAGTGTCTATGGCCACTTTGCCACTACAGTGGCGGAGTTAAATGTTTGCCACAGAGTGTGTATGGTCCCAGAGCCTAAAAAATTTGCTATCAGGCCTTTTTACAGAAGAAGTGGGCCAGTCTCTGCCTTGGAGCCCGCAGACCAGCTTGGCTGTGCCTTCTTCACAGGGGCGTGGCTTTTGAATTTTTTGCCCTGTAGGGCCTAACAGAATCTGTTCATTTGTTCATTGAACAGCTGTTTTAGGTGCGTGCTAGATGCCAGGCCACGGGGGATTGAGAATAAATGACACAACTTTTTCTCATTGATGAGGCATACCAACTCGCAGTTTATCAAGGGCAGTGTGAGAAATGACAATACTACTATATTATTTGGTGCTAAATAATGTTCTAATGTCTCGCATGTCAGTTCCCATGTAATCATGGTGCTGCACACCGAGTGCTCACAATTCACCAAGCATCATTCAGTACTCTCAGTGTTATCTTCAGTACAGCATCAGTACTCTCATGTGTTAGCTCAGGGAACGCTGCTCCTACGAGATGGATATGCTAGCATCCTCGTTCCACAGGTGAGACAGCCCAGAGAGGTCAAGTAACTGGCCCAATGACACACAGCTAGTGAGGTGTAGAGGATTTGACTTCCATCTTCTGATGTTAAACCTTGTTCCCTTAACCTCTGAGGATTGTGTACATTAAGTATCAGGTCTATGGGTACCCAGAGGAATGTTTAATAGGGGTGGGGATGTTTGGGTGTTGGCAGGAGTGAGGGTCAGTGAGGGTGACCCCTGTGCTGGATGAAGAGAAACAAGACAGAGGAAGGGGGCACAGGGCAGAGGCATCCTCACAGATCCTGAAAAACGAGATGGAGGTGCATTCAGCCCCAGTAATCTTGCTTGCAACCACTGAATTTTGCTTGAGTCCCTATCTTGCACCTCAACAGATAGTGACTAACATTTTGGGAAGGGGAGGTGTAAGAACCCTTGTCTTTCAAGAGATATGTAGAGCCTTACTCTTCTTACACACAAGGCCGGTGATGGCACTGCAATATCAGCGTGAAATATGAAGAAACTGTTCTATAATGATGCCAAATGCAGGCCAATTCCTGTGGGGTCAAGGGAACTCACTTAGTGAGAGGAGAGAAATTAGCCACGCTGGGCAGGGTAGCAGGAAGGGGCCAGGATTCTAGCTTTGTGCATCTTGATCCTCACCTCTGCTTGCTCAATTGCGAAGTGGAATATTTTGGCTCTGCCCATGGGAATGAACCCAATAAATGCCTACAGATGTAAAACATTTGAATAAGAAAAGAAAGCTGTGGGCTGGGAAGGGCATTCCAGGAACATGGTGCAGCTTTTGGGAACAAGAGAATGACAGAAGATTAGGCGAGTTTTAAGCATCTGTAACTTCTTTACATAAAGCTTAAACCCGCTTCTCCACTATTGGCATCCATCACCTCTATTCCTGCCTGCAAGGGCCACGGAGGGCCTATCAGTCTTCCACAGGCCAGCCCTTCACCTCCCTCCTACCTTTGAGAGCTCTGGTTTAAACCTAACTTCAGCTTCACCCCTTCAATCACCATCCAGAGTTTAGAAAGCAGGTGCAACAGGTAAGACATTTTATATTTGATTTGTGGCTGTGATGAAAACTGTTTTTGTCCTGAGTGGCTCAGCGGATTGAGCATTGGCCTGCAAACCAAAAGGTCTCTGGTTTGATCCCCAGTCAGGGCACATGCCTCAGTTGCAGGGCAGGTGCTCCACTGGGAGCATGCGAGAGGCAACTGATTGGTATTTCTCACATTGATGTTTCTCTTCTTCTCTTTCTCCCTCCCTTTCCCTCTTTCTAAAAATAAATGAAATCTTAAAAAAAACTGTTTTGGCTGCTACCCTTCCAATTGTGTGTGAATATCTAACCTCCAAGAGGGTATTACAGCTTTGGTACTTAGCCAGCACATCCTCTGCTATAGCTGATTGGGTCAGTGGGTTTGATTTAACCAAAGCTGGGTGAATGAGGTTTGCTTTTGGGAAGTTAGAATTGGCTTCCAGACATGTAAGGGAACCTGCCTGTGGCCTCACCTGAGACCACGGGAACCTGCCTGTGGCCTCACCTGAGACCATGGCACTTCAGACTTAGTGGGAAGCCATTTTTAGCCATGTGCAGAGAAAGGCAGAGATAAGCAACCATGTAGTGAGAGAGAGACATGGGGAGGCCTCTCAGTTGTTAGGTCCCTAGAGATAGCCCTATAATAAACTCTCTTCAACTAAGCTGGTTTGAACAAGTTTCTCTTTCTTGCAACCGAAGGAAGCTTGACTATGAGAGTGGTCCTGCGTGTGATTATGGGAACTGGTTAAGTCAACAGTTGTATTAAAGCAAAGAAAGGAGAGGAGAGGTGAGTGATGATTTCAAGACAGCCCAGACGCTTCTTCATCCTTTTGAGAGAGCAAAGGACAAGGACAGTGAGATGTTAGGAAAGACACGCAAATGCTAATTTCTTTTTTTGTGCCAGAGGAGAAGGTTTTTATAGTAGAAAGTTTCTGTGGTGCCCCAGATCCCTGTCTCCTAGTGTCCTTGTGTGGTGTCCTCCTGGCCCCGGAGTGTGGGCCTAGTACTCCATCCTAACTAGTAAAATATGGTCAGGTGACAGGATATATGTGATTACTTGTATATAAATACATAAGCTTGTAGTGTTCATCTTGCTAGGGGACTCTCTTCCTTGCTGGGCTTGTTGAAGCCAAATGCCATGTTATGAAAAGGATGTGAGGGCAGCCCACAGCCAACAACCAGTGAGGAACTGAGGCCTTCAGTCTAGAGCCTGCAGTGAAGGAACATTCTACTAATAACTACGTGAGCTTGGAAGCAGAGCCTCCCCAGACGAGCCTCAGGTGAGACACAGCCTTGACCCACACCTTGATCATAGCCATGAAGAGGACCCAGTGAAGCTGCACCCAGACTCCTGACCCACAGAAACTGAAATAAATGTATGTTGTTTTAAGCCACTAAGTTTGTCATCATTTGTGAGGCAGCAATAACTAATACAGTTTCTTTCTCCGGCTATAAATCAACATAAGATGAAAGAAATCTGCTTGATGTGTTTTCAAATCAACTGCAGGCAAAAGAGAAAATTCAATTGCAGACCTATATATTTACCTCTGCAAGATCCCAATGTGAGCAGGGCAATATTTGGGTTTCTCAGGTATGCAATGGATTCTAGAAAATCCTCTTTGTGGTGCAAGCCTGAAGGCAGAGAGGACAGGGCCTGGGCCAGGGCACCAGGGTGATTCTCCAGGTTCCACATAGGCCACTCCTCCAGAGGCCAGGCACATGGCACTTTCAGGAGCTTTGGTGACTTCGTCATGATCCTGCAACCCCAGAGGAGGAGAGAGGACCTGCAAAGCTAGAAAGTTCAGTGCCATACCTCCACTCATTAACGGCTGCATCTGGCTTATTCTGCAGCTAAAGTCTTTTGGGGAAACAAAATCTTGAAAAGGAACGTCTATTTAGAAATGTGCATTTCATGTGTGGCAAGAAGGTGGTAATGCTGAGGGCTTTGAGTCCACTCGAGAGCTACTTATTTGGTCTGTATCTCTAAAGAGAAAGAAGACAGGGCTGGGTTAAAGGAGCAGAGGTGCCTCCCTTTCCAGTCTTCGCAGGGCAACCTGAAGCTGTGAGGCCCCCATGTGCCTGGTGGCTGGGAAGAGAACACGGAAGAGAATAAGTCTTTACCTTGAAGACCTCAATGACATCTGTGTATTACCTTCAAACAACAGGAATAATAATACATGTAACTCAGGCGCTCCTTTTATTGTACCAAGTTCAAAGGACTTTTAAAAGGGGGCCTGTGTCTTTATGGGTTTAGGAAAACTGGATTCTCCGGAGCAGTTGGCTTCTATTCTTGGTTCTGATGCTTGCTATTCCAGTTGACCTGGTGATCTCTTGGAGCCTACTGTTCTTAAAATTGAGGGAAAAAGCAAGGAACCAGAGACAGAGAGGCACCCCTAGCATTTCTGGTTTTCTAAAAGCTTTTGAAGTATAATTCAAAGCATTTTTGCTTCTGGCTGAGAGGAGGAGGCCAGGAATGCATGCTGGTGCCAACACAGACTGCATGACAAAGGCATTTCCTGTTCTCCCTGTGGCTCTGTTACAATTCTCTTTTATTTACCACTACATGCCCCAAAACGCATGGGCCTATTTCATGGCCCTCTAATGTGCCTCTACCAGCTAAATCTGAAGGTCATGCAATGACGAGTGTAAGGGTCCTGCAGTGAGTCATAGGCAGGTGGGCCAGAGTCTGGGCTACTACACGCTTTGGTTCTGGCTTGAAGCCTTAGAGACTAAGGCAAGATTGGCAAGCTTTCTGTAAAGGGCCAGAGAGTAAATATTTTATGCTTGGGGGCCAGATGGTTCCATAAAACTCCTCAGCTCTGACATTGAATGAAAGCATAGATAGTATGTAAATGAATGGATTGGTCTATATACAAACAAAACTGTATTTCCAATAAAATCAGGCATTGGGCCGGGCAGTTCACCGAACCCTGGTCTAAGAGATTGGAAAAATTAAATCTTTATCTTAGAGCAAC